AAAAAAACGCTTAGATTTCCGCCTGATTTTTGCCTTTCACGTAAAAAAAAAATGAAAAAAACATCTGAAGAAATGTTATACATCTTGATCTGAGAGAGAGTTGTATTGATAATTACAGAGAAATCTGCATGATCACATTTTCTGAAATGCAAAATGGCAGATACATCACCTCTTCAAAAGAAAAATGATCAAACGAGCTCTATAGTACAATAGTAGCAGTAGTAGAAGTAGTAGCATTATTTAAGGATTGTTTTCAACAAACCAGTAAATGGAGTTTGGATCTTTGAAAATAATTGTAGCAATAGCATCATGTGTTATTGGTCAGTAGTATGTTCCCCCTAGGTTGCCGTCCTCTGTCAAGACTCCACAGTGCCACCTTTAGGCTCTGGTTAGATCTGCATCTGCTCCAGATATTTGTAGGTGGGGTTTTCGTAGCCGTGGTTCTGCATCTTGCTGAGGTGACGCTCCTCTGGTGTCAGCATGGGGTCAACCTGTGAGACAGACACATGACGGTTGACCTCAACATGGTGAGAATACATTGACAACTCAGCTCAGGACGGCACAACATGCTGTGTGTGTCGTATGCAAATGCTGCAGGGACGATTATCTAATTAATCCTGCATTACCCATGCTCCATTTGCACAAGACGTGATCGTTTAATGTAAATCAGACACTTAATAAGATGGATAGCAGTTCAGTGTGTGTGTGTGTGTGTGTGTGTGTGTGTGTGTGTGTGTGTGTGTGTGTGTGGTAAACAGCCTGGAGCCCAAATCTCCACCCTGTGATGCTAATAACGGGCGGCTCTTACCTCCACGATGCCGTGACTGATGGTGCCGTATTGCCTCTTCCTCAAAAGCACCAGACTGATCACAATCACAGTTGCTATGGCCACCGCAATCACCAGCAAGCCAATCAGTGCGCTGCTCCCGAAGCTGAAATCTTCTCCCAGGGGGCGATAGGACTCCTGACAGGTAGAACGGGCGAGAGCGAGACAGAGAGGGAACAGTGAGGAGACAATACATGCAAACACAGATGAGCACTGAGAGACACAATGAAGCTGATTTGCTGTAATAATGCAGAAATTGTGCGAAATCGTCAATCAGATCATTTCATTACACTGAGCAGACATTTAAATAGTTGTTTCATGATCAAATATATATGATCAAATGTACCATTTTAAAAAGGTTCAGAAAACTTTTAATTATTAACTACATTTAAATTTCACAATCTGGAAACTAAACACAAACCGTCGTCTTATGTTTGCTGCAACTTCTCCGAAGTGCTCACAAGCTAAATCGAGCGTGAGCCTCTCATTAATATAAATAACTCAGCGTCTGCACACAAATAGAGCAGATATCAAGTTGATCTGGAAGTGGATCTGCTCTGCTGAGAACTTATGTTTAGTATCCACTGGGATTTCACAGGCTCAACGATCTGTGTTCACTTCCAGTCAGCAAACTGTTCAAAATGATTTATGAGGATTTGAAAGTTTTTGTCATGTAGGCTAGAAATAATTCTCCTCCTCGATATTATTATCACCAGAAATCTCTACACCAGAGTAAATTATTATCCTGATCAATAATCACAATGAAAAGGTGTGAAAATCGGCACCCAGGCAGACACATCCAATAGTTTCTAGAGCCCAACTGATATGGATTTTTGGGTGTAAAAAGTATCTGATAATGATAAACTGTTTTTTAAAAAATATTCCTAAAATGTAGAAATTTAATTGAGGCTTGATATTTTACTGTTTAACCATAAACTTACAAATATAAATCACTATAAATAAAACTAAGACTCAGATAGAACCAAACATAGAGAACTTAAAAATAAACATATTTTTTAATGTAAATTCCAGTGCATATAAGCAAACAAATGCTGATTCCAATATGTCTGTGATCGGCTCATTATGGCCAATTTATCAAGCCAATCATTTAGTTTATTTACCAGGACAAATTTCTCATTTGTAACAACTGGAAATGAATTTTTCTGTAATTCAGATTTGAACGTTGCAGATCAGGAATAATGACACTTTTGTGGATTAATATTCCTTGAAGTGACATTTAAATCAATGAACAGGAGGAGAATCTCTTAATCTCTGACTCTTGATTCTTATGTTATAAAACCACAGTGAATACTGGGACAACATCCTTTCGATAGAGAATCTGTAAGAAACGGTCGACTTGTGAACACTGTGTACACATGCATGAAATGTGTCTTTGTGAAAAGATGATACAATTTTTGGCCAATTGGGTATAAACACACAACCGCACACGCTCAACCTCACGATGTGTTCTGGCACATATGACACAAACTAATCATATGTAGACAGCCATTATTTTTTTACTGCTCATTCTCACACATAAACTGAGCACGGCCAGTTTGTGTGGATTCACATTCATCATATGAACTGAGATTTCCAATGTGTACATTCTCATAACAAACATGCGTCCATGCAGAAATAACCAAAACATATTACCCGGAACAAAAAACTTTTTAAAAACAGGAGAGGGGATTATGAGTATGTTCCAATGTTGTGTTTTTTTTCTTCTTCTTGCAGTTATCAGCTACAGAGCTGGTTCTTTACACACTCCCACCCTCCCACCTTCTTTCATCTCCTCCCCACTACAGATAACTACCGTCCCCCAGAGAGCCCTGTGGAGGTCGCCGCTATACTCACCAGCTCATCATCATGCATAAGGCTGCCTCTCTCTGCACTGTAAACCACTTCTTTAACATCCAGACTGTCAACAATCACCTGTCAACACAGACAGGGGAGCCCAGGTTACACTCACCACAATGTGAGTGTCTGTGTGTGAGACTGTGTGTCTGTATTGTGTGAGACTGATGGAGAGACAGAGGGAGAGAGACAGGTGGAGAGCGAGAGGCTGTGAATGTGCAACGAAGTAAACTGTTAAGGATTGTCTGTTTCAGTGATGATACACTTGTCTGGAAGGAGAGAGGGAGGTGGTTTGCAAGCATCAACAACAGCATCGACTCTCTTCTAGGCATACAGTTAGCAAAGCCTTCTAAACAGACTGTCAGCCACTCATTAGATTTGATCTGAAGTCCTGTGAGTGGACGTGTGTGTGTTCAGGAGGCAGAAACTAAATCTGCTTTTTGTAGAGACAGAGCAGTCCGGAGTCTGTTTCTCACAGGAAATAAAAAA